GTGTGTGTGTGTGTGTGTGTGTGTGTGTGTGTGTGTGTGTGCGTGTGTGTGTTTTCCAGCATAACTTTGGAACACCTAGAGTAATTTCAACCAAACTTGGTACAAAGATGACTTACTCTCTGGAAAAAAATAATGTGGGGTACTGTGTTAAGATACAGCCTGTTGTGCCTTAAAATGGCATCTACTGCCGTAAAGTGGCTTCTACTGTTCAGTGCCGCAGAGTTGCTATGACAATGTCTTCACAGAACTCCACAAAGGGGCTCCTTCTGGTAAGGGGTAAAATCCAACATCAGAAATTACATTTGATCCAGACATTTTCCCCCTATAAATAATACCTGGGCAGCGCCGGGTTATCAGATAGTAAATAAATAAATGCAATTCTGCTTTTGAATTAGGGTACTGGAGGAGATGCTTGAGAGTCTGTTGGACTGCAAAGAGATCAAATCAGTCAATCCCAAAGGAAATCAACCCTGATTGTCCTTTGGAAGGACAGATACTGAAGCTGAAATACTTTGGCCATCAAAGGAGAAGAGAGGAGTCCTTGGAAAAGAGGTTGGGAAGATGGAAAGCAAAAGGAGAAGGCAACGGCAGAGGATGTGATGGTTAGATAGTGTCATCGATGGAATGCACATGAATTGGGACAAACTCTGGGAGACAGTGGATTGCGTTAGGTTGCCTGGTGTGCTATGGTCCACGGGGTCCTGAAGGGACAGGTACAATTTAGTGACTGAACAACAACAAAATGCAATTCACAGTTCACGGGTGGAAGGGTGTGCATGGGTGAATGTTTCAGTATTATATACATCAACGGTCAAATATTATTTAGTCTGATGTTATAAGTTTATTATCTGCATTTTCTAGCTATGCCTCCTTTTCTGTCTTAGTAAAGAAAAGCAGTTTATTGAGTGACTGAATTAAATTAGAAAAAGAATGTGAGCTTCCCCCCCCCCCCCAAATTGATCAGGTCTCTTGTTCATGTAAAATATGGATGGGGCAAAACAGATTTTCTTTTCTCCAGGAAGAAGTTTTTCGATGGCTGGCTCAAGTTTTCCTCTTCTAAAGAGGACTACTAACAGAGGTGGTATTAAGCTGGTTCGGACCAGTTTGCCCGAACTGATAGTGGAAATCACAGGTAGGCCTGCTCTATGTTGTCCTATTTAGGCACGTTTTCAAGCTGTGCACCTGCGTGCAAGTCGCATGTGTGGTCAAAGTGCATGCACAGAAAGCCGAGAGCATGCATGGACATGCCTGCTCACATTTGCGAACTAGAAGGGAAAGTAAGTGAATACCACCCCTGGCTACTAAGCCTAAGCAGCTTTGAAGAACATGATGTTAGTCCAAGTCCTCAAGTGTGTATATATCAGTGGTGGGTTCCAGGCCTGGTGTCCTCCACATGAACGCGGTGGTGCATAATGGCTTTCTGTCATGATGGTCTCTTGTGATGAGCTGATAGACAGAAAATGCAAGCAGTATGCTTCCTCCCATATTTGGGCATACCGGGGGTTGTGACACTAAATACATACCTATTTCCCTGGCTCAGC